CTAGGGGCTTGATGCACTGTTCATGAACAGTGTATCAAGCCCCCAGGGGCTGACACCTCACCTGTCCCCTCAGGGTTCCCTATTTGGGGTCCCTGTAGCAACACCCTATATATATACATGCTTCATGAGTGATACCTAATATTTGGTTTTTGGGGATTGGGAGAACATTTACTAATGAGCATATCTGTTTAGATATGTGCTGATGTGCCAACGTTTGAACTTGACAAAGTCGCGCTAGATTACTGACTATGATTCTAGATACAAGCACTGTCATGGTTACTATTTGTTGTCTCAATTTTGGAGCATGCACCACATCTTAATCACAAGTATAATTAATCATACCTAAAGCTAATAGCAATATAGAATATAACTAGAATAGTTTAAAAACATTATTGCAAGAGACTAGAGAAACTGATAAATACTAGAACTAGTTAAACAAATGGTGAAAAGCATACCATCAATAACAAAATCCTCTAGATGCTTCCTAACTTAGAATATGAGATTAGCAAGTAGAAATAACTTATTCACCATGTTGAATGAGTTAAGGAACCTAGATAATTCTCATTTAAAATTGATCTAAGCCATACTATACGTTGTTTTTACGTCGTCGTATCTCTTAGATACGATACGATCGTGTACTTGAATTAGACTTTGTAGCCGAAACTAAGTGTTCACACCTGCACGTCATGAGCAAATAGATAGATTCTGCCTAATAATATGTAATGCTGTTGCTGATACTAAAATCGCAGAAAGTATGCGATTGGTGTCAAAGCAGAAAGATTAGCCTCCGGAAAATATTTTTATTCGACGAGAAAGTTCGCTTGTATGCAAAAGAGTACATTGAAGGCAAAGTTTATCACCTTAATTAAACCCTGCCATTGATCAGGTCATCCGGCACTAATCACAAAGGAGCTTGTCAATTTTGCAACTTCTGCAGGAAGAAGAAAAATGAATGAGATATAACTGCATCGATCGTAAGTATATATGCCACAACAATAATTTTCAGGCTTTGAAGTAATATGTGTGAGATATTATTATTCCTACTTTCCAAATATAAATTCCCATGAAAATGTTTAAACTCTCTCGTTAATCCGTTGGAAATCCAAAAAAGGGTTTCAATATAAAACACAAATGTTTCAGAACTCCAAATTACCAAGCATTGGTGACATCCTATGACATTTTCATCCGACCGGTCCTCAGAGGTAACTATGGCAAATTAACAATCCCTATCGTAGATCCGAATCAGTGAAATAGGAATTGTTGCAACTGCTACGCTCGTATAAGTTGGTCAATCAAGCATTGTGAATGTCAATAATCACTAATTAGTTCAAGTGGCGGCTTGATTAGATTACAGCCACGTAGGCTTCATTAGGATCTACTCGATCTGGTGGTTAGCTCCCTTCACCAACTAACCTATATATAATACTCAACATCCTCAAATGAGATGCTAGTACTAATTAAGTACTGCCAGCCTCGCTGTATGTTTGGGTTTTGCTAACATAATATTAGAAGGAAGTTGAATGTTAAAATTCAAGAATTGACAGTGTAACTGCTCACGACAAGTTGTTAGCCCTTGGTTCTAAACTGCTTCTTCAAGGCACGCAACCTACGTATTTACAGGGACTTGCTGCCCCTGAACAAGAACAAAGGGTCTCATTGACACATACAAAAACAAAAAGGGAAGGTAATTAAAGAAAGGAAAAGGATAGGAGGAAGGATTAAGAGGCCAGCTCTTCAGAGGACTTAATTTGTTGACATTAATTAAGGATTTGTTTACCTGTCTCATTTACGATCGAGAACAAAAAGATATACGGCCATCTAAAAACTTCAAACGCGTGAAGTCAAAAGAATATAAGTTATGGATTCATTTGCCTAGTATATGTACAATTAGCGACAAATAACTAAGATATCGTTATTTTGAATAAAAGGGTTAAACATGTAGTTACTTGGCAACTGCCTAGGTGAACTAGCTAGTTGATATTTGATACCATGCAGCATCGTGTAAATGTAAATAATAACACTGGACAGTAAAATATGCAAGAATTCGTATGTGGCAAAGGACTATCAAATCTTACTTATCCAATCATATATGTATGTTGCAACCCTTGGTGATGATTGACCTTCACCAATGTCAACATGTCATTATAGTTTAACTCCTCGAAACAAGGTAAACAAAATTACATTAGAAATGTTAATCATCCTTCTTACGCGCATTCAAAATGATTCTTCTTTATTTCCTGCATAAGCCTATGATCATAAACCCAACAATTTGGCCAGTGTAGGAATTGTATAAGACTTATTTATCTTTTCTTCAATTCCTCTGCCTCTTGCGTCACTAATTACATACACCAAAAATCTTTTAAAATTGTTTTTTTTTTTAAATACAAGTGGGAAAGCAACCTGTTCCACTATCCACATGCCAGGAAGTTTCCCTAACCCCAACACAAGCATTTTTAAAGTACTTGCTTCTCAAACTTTGCAACTAGCTGAAATAAGAACCTTTGACTAAAGATGGAACTTTGGAAGGAAACGTCCTAGTCTTCATTGGTAGATTTTCGCTTAGTTACATTATAATAATAATAAAAATATGAATCCTACGTTGGTTACTATATGTAAAGAAACATCAGCACTGGTCCACACTAATTCAACACGATACCCATTTAGGGCGTCTTAATTATAACAGTTTCTTCGATGATCCTCAAGACAGTTAAATTCAGATGGTGTTATATATCATCAACTAAATCTCAAAATAATTAACTACTGCGGCTGACCCTTGTCCTAATAACGTGTTCAAAGAGAACATGGTACCTGGTCATGTTACTTATCCACTTAGATTGAAATCTTTGACAAAGATCAATGCATATGTAATCGAAGTTCGAAACAGGGACGTAATAAGATCAAGGAAGATATAGTCTCCTAGAGTACACGGCATGCAGCGGCTCTACAGTATAAAGCTACAAAGATAACCTAGTAACTTCAGCATTCTAAAAATTTCTCAAAGAAAAATAAAACTACTCATATATGATTACAAAATTTAAGGATATGAGCTCATGAATAAACTGAAGCAAGTCACTCAGATGCAAGAAATAATAAATTACTATAGATAAAAGAAAGGTGATATGAATTTACCAAGATCCAGTACATAGAATGAACTCTGTTCCCGGAACTGAACATGAAGACTATTTTCAGGTCAGATTTGTTTGATTTTCACCAATAGCTAGCTTCAAAATCTGAGCCAAGCTGCCTCTAAAAAATTCCACTGAAAGAAACCATATAAATGTTTCTGAAGGGAGGATTTTTTTTTTTTTTAAAAGACCCTTTCTGAAATTTTATTAGCAAAATCAACTTATTCTTAATATAATTAGCAAAATCGATCTCTTTTGACCAACTGGCCAAAAAGAAGTCGATTTTATAAAAATAAAGCTTTAAAATACACGAGACTACTACTCCTGTGTATTTAGTGGTGCCTGATTACACGCTAATGAACTTTACTAGAGAGACAGAAAGAAATACCAAAGGAAAAATACTTCTGTTCATGTGGTAATCCATTTGAATTGTAGTAATAGGGCACGAGCTTCTGCTTTGTGCAACCTGAATAGCAAAGCCAATAAAAATTGAGATATGACCACACGTAAATTTGAATCATACTTAAACAGGATATAAGGATTTACTTCACTCCCAGATAGATTGTACTCAAAAGAAAGTTATATAAGCATATGTAGCTACATTTGATGCATAATAACATCAACCAAATTGTGTTGTAATTTTAGAAAAACCAATAACAGAGTCGAGTGTTCATACTGTACATTCCGATATTCCGATATGACAGAGGACAATATTAGTAGCACAGGGAAGTCCTAATGAATAATCATGATAAATCTTTTTAGTAAAAATAAGTACATTGCATGAGCATATGTAGAATTGTTATTTTTATTGTTGTGGGTCCAACCCAAGATAAGGGTCATATGAGATTCACATGAATTAAAATTCTATTTAGAAGATGATTTGGATGATCTATTTATAATAGGAATAGGTTTGGAAAATTTTATTTATTAGAACACTGAAATTTTTCTCGGAACTACAGTAACCGGCTACAATAAACCGAGAGAGAGAAAAAAGGAGAGAGACAAAGAGAGAGAGTAAAGTTCAGATTCTGGATAGCTCGGTTGTCTAATTGTAGAGATTTAAAATCCGTTGTCTTCAGAACAACGACACCATCGAGGGTACGGTGCTGGTTTCTCAACAAGTGTTGGAGATTTTTGGTGAGACGGGTTTTAGGGTTTTGGTGCCCTAAAAGTAACAATATATTTTTCTCTTGTGATTTAATCCTCAAGTTCAGGTGTAACTTGGAGGGATTGTACTCTTAATTCATAGTGAAATATTTCTCTCTGGATTGTCATGTGGACGTAGACACGATTTGTCGAACGACGTTAAATCTTGGTGTTTGCTTTCTTGTGGTATTTTCATTGGTGCCGTTATTCATTTAGTGTTTAATTCCACAGATTAACCTTCATAAAATCCCTAACAATTAGTATCAGAGCCCTAGTTCGAGACGTGCTTTGTGATGGAAAAAATGGAGAGTTTTGGCACAATGATGATATTAGATGGTTCCAATTGGCAAGTATGAAAGTCTAAGGTGGAAGATATTCTATATTGTAAAGATTTACATGACCCTATTGAGGGAGATGAAGCCAAGCCAGAAAAGATGACTGATAAAGAAATTGTAAAGATTTACATGACCCTATTGAGGGAGATGAAGCCAAGCCAGAAAAGATGACTGATAAAGAATGAGAGAAACAACACAGGAAGCCCTATTGAGGGAGATGAAGCCAAGCCAGAAAAGATGACTGATAAAGAATGAGAGAAACAACACAGGAAGGCAATCGGTTACATTCAGATGTTGATCGACGTTAGTGTGTTTCATTATATATCGGGTGAGACTAATGCGAAGTCTCTTTGGAAGAAGGTTGAGGATCTCTATGAGCAGAAGATCGCGGGAAACAAGACGTTTATTATGAGACGGTTGGTGAACTTAAAATTCAAAGAAGGAATCAACATAGCAGGGCACTTGAATGAGTTCAAGAGTTTAATCAATCAGTTAGCTACCAAGAAGATGACTATCGATTATGAGCTGCAGGTTTTATTGCTATTCGGTTCTTTACCAGACAGTTGGGAGACACTGGTTGTGACAGTCAGCAACCCAGCTCCAGATGGTTTGTTATCGATGAGTATGGTTACTAGTAGTTTATTCAATGAGGAGACTCGAAGGAAGTCTACCAGTACATATAACTCACAGGCACTTGTCACGAAGAACAGGGGTAGGAGCAGGTACAGGGACTAGCCCAGAGGTCGTGGCACATCTAAGGAAAGATCAAAGTCTAAAGGAAGAGGTTGTTTTTATTGTGGGAAGTCAGGTCATATCAATAAGAATTGTTGGGAATTGAAGAAAGAGCAAGCTGGGAACAAAGATCAAAAGAAAGATGAGAAGAAGAAAGCTGACAGTGACACTACAACTACTTTGTCTGATACCGATGTTATTCTAATATTCTCATTTGCAGGGAAGAAGACTGTATGCATGTTACAAGTCAGAATTCCGAGTGGATAGTGGATACAGGAGCTACATGTCATGCTACCTCTAATCGAGACCATTTCACGTTGTAAAAAACAGATGACTTTAGCAATGTGAAGATGAGCAATACCAGCTACTCGAAGATTATGAGATTTGATGATATACACTTACAGACAGATACCGGAGGCACATTGATCTTAAAGAATGTGCGACATGTTATCAATTTGTAACTCAACTTGATTTCGGGTCTTACTTTGGACCGAATGGGATATGAAATTCAATTTGGTGGAGAAAAATATAAAATCACCAAAGGCTCTCTTATGATGGCTAGAGGAAATATATGTTGCAATTTATATAAAACTCAAGCAAATATTTCATATGATTCTTTGAGCGTGACTCAAGACGGTGACACTCTCAGTTTGTGGCATAGGAGGCTCGGGCAGATGAGTGAGAAGGGGTTGCAGATATTGGCAAAGAAGTCTCTCATTCTCTTTGTTAAAGGTTCGTCACTCACCCCTTGTGATTATTGTTTCTTTGGCAAATAACATAGAGTTTCTTTTACTAAGTCTTCTAAAAGAAAAGATAATATCCTGGATTTAACTTATTCTGATGTTTGTGGTCCTATCGAGGTGGAATCTTTGGATGGCAATAAGTATTTTATCACATTTATTGATGATGTATCGCAAAAGATGTGGATCTTCTTATTGAGGACAAAGGGCCAGGTGTTTTCAGTCTTCCAGCAGTTTCATGCCATGGTGGAGAGGCAGACATGAAAGAAATTGAAGTGTTTGCACACCGATAATAGAAAAGAGTACACTTCTATTGAGTTTAGAGATTACTGCTCCAAGCATGGCATTCGGCATCAGAGGACAAAGCCCGGCACACTGCAGCATAATGGAGTTGCAGAGAGGTACAATAGGATCATTATGGAGAAAGTCAGATGCATGTTGAAGATGGTGAAGTTATCTAAGAGCTTTTGGGCTGAAGCTGTTCGCACTGCATGCTACATAATCAACATGTATCCTTTAGATCCTTTAAGTTTTGATATTCCAAAGAGAGTTTGGTCCGGAAAAGATATTTTCTATTATCATTTGAAGGTGTTTAGTTGCAAGGCGTTTGCACACATTCTGAAGGAGAAGAGACAGAAGTTTGATGATAGAGCAGTTCCTTGCATCTTCCTTGGTTATGGAGAAGATGAGTTCAGCTACAAACTATGGGATCAAAAAAAAAGACGAATTATTAGACGAGCAGATGTGATTTTTCAGGAGGATCAGACTATCACAGATCTTGAGAGAACAGAGCAGTCAAAGAGTGTTGCTAGTGAGATTTCAAATATGACATCTGTTTCGTCTCCAGTACAGTTACATCCTACAAACAGGTCTCCTTCAGTTACTTTGAGTTTTGATATTCCAGAGAGAGTTTGGTCCGGAAAAGATATTTCCTATTCTCATATGAAGGTGTTTGCGTGTAAGGTGTTTGCACACATTCCAATGGAGAAGAGACAGAAGCCTGATGATGGAGCGGTTCCTTGCATCTTCCTTGGTTATGGAGAAGATGAGTTCGGCTACAAACTATGGGATCAAAAAAAAAGACGAATTATTAGACGAGCAGATGTGATTTTTCAGGAGGATCAGACTATCACAGATCTTGAGAGAACAGAGCAGTCAAAGAGTGTTGCTAGTGAGATTTCAAATATGACATCTGTTTCGTCTCCAGTACAGTTACATCCTACAAATATAGAGCATGTGCATGATGATGATGTTGATGATGATGGTCAGATACCAGAGCAGGGAGACAATGATCAAGATCACGAGCAGGAGGCTCCTCAGCAAGGGGAGCATCACCAACAGCAGGAGTTTGCAGAACCACAACTTAGGAGATCAGCTAGAAAGCATCAACCATCCATGAGATATCCTTTTTCAGTGTATTCTTTGCTGACAAAAGATGAGGAGCCAAAAAGCTTTCAGGAGGTACGTACTCATAAAGATAAGGGCAGATAGTTCCAGGTTATGAAGGAAGAGATGAAGTCTATTGAGAAGAACGATACTTATGAGTTGGTGGATTTACCGAAGGACAGAAAAGCTTTGAAGAACAAGTGGGTGTTCAAGTTAAAGAAGGATGGCTATAAAAAGATTCATAAATACAAAGCTAGATTAGTGGTGAAAGGTTTTGATCAGAAAAAAAGGGCATTGATTTTGATGAGATTTTTTCACCGGTTATGAAGATGACGTCCATTAGAGTTATCTTGGGGTTAGCAGCTAGTTTAGACATCGAGATTGAGAAGCTTGATGTGAAAACTACATTTCTTCATGGTGATTTGGAGGAGGAGACCTACGTGAAGCACTCGGAGGGTTTTGAAGTGAAGGGAAAAGAACACATTGTTTGCATGTTGAAGAAGAGCCTCTATGGTTTGAAGCAGACACCCAAGCAGTAGTGCCACAAGAAATTTGATTCTTTCATGTTGAGTCATGGAAATCAGAAGACAGATACAGATTCGTGTGTATATTTCAGGAGAATTTCAGATTCTAGCTTCATTGTCTTTTTGCTTTATGTAGACGATATATTGATTTTTGGTCAGGATAGCCAGATAATCAATGGGCTGAAGAAGGAGTTATTTAAATCCTTTGACATGAAGGATTTGGACTCGGCACAATGGATTCTTAGTATGAATATTGCTCGTGACAGGAAAGCTAGGAAGTTGTGATTATCACAGGAGAAATATGTTGAACGGCTACTTGATAGTTTCAACATAAAAGATGTCAAGTCAGTCAGTACTCCTCTTGCAGGTCATTTAAAGCTTTGCAAAAAGTTTTGTCCGACTACAGATGAGGAAAATAGTGTTATTGATAATATTCCTTACTCTTTAGTTGTAGGGAGTTTGATATATATCATGGTTTCCTTTCGGTCAGATATAGCTCATGCAGTTGGCGTTGTGAGCAGGTTTCTTTCTAATCTAGGAAAAATTCATTGGGAATGTGTAAAGTGAATCTTAAAATATTTGAAAGATAATTCCAGATTGTGTTTGAGTTTTGAAGGTTTGAGGACAGTATTACATAGTTTTGCAGATGCGGATATGACAGGTGATCTCGATCAGAGAAAGTCTACCTCAGGTTGGTTGTTCATTTTTACAGAGTGAGCAGTATGTTAACAGTCCAGATTACAGAAGTGTGTTGCTTTATCTACAATAGAGACAGAATATATTGCAGCTGCATCAGCTAGTAAGAAGATGATTTGGTTGAGAAGATTTCTGCAGGAGTTAGGCTTGCAGTAAGATAATTATCAAATCTTCATTGATAGTCAAAGTGTTCTTGATTTGAGCAAGAATTCTATATTCCACTTCATGACGAAACACTTTGATATGAGATATCATTGACTTAGAGAAGTCGTTGAGAAAGATGAGCTAAAGCTACAGAAGATTCACACAGATAAAAATCCAGCAGATTTTTTAACAAAGATCGTTTCCAGAGAGAAGACTGAGTTGTGTCGGCGATTGGCCGACATAAACTCCCCTTAAGGAGTTACAGATTGACACTCCCTCGTTAGGCTGGAGGGGGAGATTGTTGTGAATCCAGTCTAAGATAAGGCCCACATGAGGTTCACATGAATTAAAATTCTATCTAGAAGAGGATTTGGATGTTCTATTTATAATACGAATAGGTTTTGAGAATTCTATTTACTAGAACGCTATTTTTTTGGGGAGCTATAATAACCAGCTACAGTAAACCAAGAGAGAGAAAAAAAAAGAGAGATTCAGATTTCGGATAGCTCGGTTGTCCGATTGTAGAGATTCAAAAGACATTGTCTTCAGAACGACGACGCCGTCGAGGATACAGTGCTAGTTCTCCGCGGGTGTTGGAGATTTTTGTTAAGACGGATTTTAGAATTTTGATGCCCTAAATGTAACACTGTATTTTTCTCTTGTAATTTAGTCCTCAAGTTCAGATGTAACTTAGAGGGATTGTACTTTTGATTCATAGTGAAATATTTCTCTCTGGATTGTCCCGTGGACATAGGCACTATTTGCCGAACCTCGTTAAATATTGGTGTTTGCTTGCTTGTGGTATTTTCATTGGTGTCGTTATTCGTTTAGTGGTTTAATTCCGCAGATTAATCTCCATAAAATCCCTAACATTTATTACATAATAATAGATAAAAAAAAGGGGGAAATCTACATAACCATGAAAGCTTCTCCGCACCATTCAGGCTGGCCTCCTGATTTCATGATGATCGCTTGAATGCCGGCCAATAGTGATTTTTTCAGCAACAGTGGCCACATCAACACCACACGTGCGTGCACATGGCGCAGAAAGATGGTATGTTTTCAATGCTACTCACCCGAGCCTATCTACTTTTACTCGTTACTGTTGTTGCAAGCCAATCAATTTATGATATGCACTGCCCACATTCTCCATCAGAGCTGAATGAGTGCCATGCTCTATTATCCTACCCTCCTGCAATACCGAAATAATATCTGCATCCCTGATAGTGGAAAGCCTATGTGCAACTGTAACCGTCGTCCTCTGCTTCATGATTTTATCAAGTGCCTCTTGAACCACGCACTCCGACTCAGTGTCAAGTGCGCTAGTGGCCTCATCAAGAAGCAATATCGCCGGACTCTTGATGATGGCCCGAGCAATGGCAACCCTCTGTTTCTGTCCCCCTGAAAGCTGGACCCCACGCTCACCGACCTTTGTCGAGTATCCCTCTGGGAGGGCACTGATAAAGGAGTGGGCATTTGCAAGCTTAGCTGCCTCAATGACCTCTGATTCCGTGGCGTCCTCTTTTCCATAAAGGATGTTCTCATAGATTGTGGTGGCAAAAAGAGCTGGTTCTTGCTGAACCAGGCCAATGTGTTTCCTGATGGAGGAGAGTTTAAGCCCCTTGATATCTTTGCCTAGAAGGAAAATCATGGGTTAGAAATGGGTAAATTGTATTACACTAGCCAAGATTTTGGTAATTAGGTTAAAATTCAAATGCATGATCGATGAAGAGCCAATGGTTCACAAAATGATTTCCAGTAACTAGAAACTGCTTAATTAACTATATGCTTTCTATGAATTTTTTTTGTGATAGGAGCTTGAAACAAAATGAAATATGATATTCATATTGGTTGCATCAACAGCTCAAAAAATGCAAGCAAAAACTTTCTCACTGAAGCAAATGAAAAAGCCAAAAAATATTTAAGCCTGTTCCAAAAATTTAAATTCCTACCCCAGTAAATGATGCCAACTTCAAACAAATCCTCACTTCATCAATCAATAATAAATGACTAAATAGAAAATTAACTTGAAGACATGACAGGTGAAAGAAATTAACCACGAATAATTTTATTGTTACTTCTTTTTGAATTTTCAACAAATAAGCTAATATAGTTAACAGAAGCACATACCATCAATCAACACCTCCCCAGAGCTAGGATCATAGAACCTTAGTATAAGAGCAAGCACTGAGCTCTTGCCCGATCCACTTGTTCCGACCACTGCCAAGCTCATTCCAGGGTCTACCCTTAAATCAAAATTATTAAAGACCGCGGTATCAGGCCTTGAGGGATAACAAAATGTAACTCCTCTTAACTCAATTTTTCCTCTAACGGTTCCCACATCCTCTCCAATGTTACATGCCATCTCGGTTTTCCTATCTATCACCTCAAACACAGATGCGGCCATCTGGCTCCCCTTCATGATGTCAGGAGCCAGCGCAAGGGCATCCCCAACTGAAAATGCTGTCACTATCATGACCATAAAGGATTTGATGATGGATTCAAAGCTCACAAGCCCTTCGCGCATTAATATTGATCCGTACCTGCAAATTAATTTTCCTTAAATATATGAGAATATAATCCTATCAAATTTCAAGATAGAGAATATTCTCTCATATGGAGTATTGCATTAAAAGCACTTGCACTTGTATTATTCATAAAGATCAACAATTAAAAATGCAGCAAGTCAATATTATACCACAAGGCAAGGCCATAAGAGGAGTAGAGGCAGAACTGGGAGATGCCACAAAAGATGCCCATGATATGTCCACGCAGAAAAGAGCTTCTAGATGGTGCCTCAAGCTCCCTGACGTAGAGTCTGACAACTTTATCTTCTGAGCAAAAAGCAGCAACTGTTCTGATGTTGCTAACGGCCTCAATAACAAATGTATTAGCTCTTAAGTAGGCCTTGCTCAAATTACCTCCAAACCCTCTCATGAACATTTGCTGCCAAATTTAGATAGACATGCATAAAAAAGTTGAGATGGAAATTTTTGAGGATGCTGGAGAAAAGCATACCTCACTGATGTTCCCACTGATAATCAAGGGATATGTAGCCAAGATAACAAGAGTTATCCTCCAATTCAAGATGAATGAGATTATGAATGATGAAACAATTATCCCACTGTTCTGCAAAAGGATTGAGATACGATCAACGACAACCGTACGCAGTAGAGTGGCATCAGTTTCCAAACGGGATAACAGAGCTGAGCTGGTATTGCTTGGACCATCAAACCATCCTATCTCGTTACGCAGAATTGCTAGAAAGATTATACACATTATATACAAGACTACAAGATAACTATATGTCAATAAATCATATAATGAATAGGTGAATTACCTCTAAACATAATTTCTCTAACCCGAAGTGTGAGCCTTTCGCCTATGATACTAAAGTTGAGGTGTTGTATGGTATGAAAGATCAAAGTGAGAATAGCAGCAGAACTGAAAAGTATAGTTATCTTCTTTACTTCTCTCAAGGTGCTCTCCCACTCCATATAGTAGGAGACAAGAGCTTGTGCTACTCCAAGAGCAAATAATGGTGTTTGGGCACCAGCTACAAAGGCACTAATAGTGCCAAACACCATTGTAACCCAATCCGGACCAACCATAGAGTATAATCTGCTCAAAGATACAGGTAATGGTTTTGCAATCTCATTTGCTTCTGAAGCATAATGGCAAATAGGATCTTTATCAGAGCAGAAGCTGGATCCAAAGCTTGTCAGTCTAGTAAGATCTTCTATAGGTTCAACTGTTGGATTGCTGCATTTATAAATTTATGTTAAGCATCTACGATTTTTGCACTTACTTGTACCAAAACTGCAGTAATGCAAATTCCAGAGTTGATATGGACTGTATGGTTGCATAAAGTGGGTTTTAGAGAAGGAAATTGATATTGTGAGTATAAGAAACATCCAAAATTTGAAAGGAAATTTTATTGAAAGAGGCTGGTTTTGAAAAATATTTAGCAAAACCGACCTCTTTCTGGCCAGCTCACCAAGGTTGGCCAAAAAGAGGTTGGTTTTGCTGAATTTGGGTTTTGAAACACATAGGACTAATAGTCTTGTGTGTTTAGTGGCCGCTAATCGGCCACTAAACTAAACTCAGTAAACCCACGGGACTACTAGTCCCGTGGGTTTTCTCTTCACAAATACAAAAACCATAGATTACTACTAACTAGTGGGAATTTGTGGGTGATTTGAATCTTTTTTGTATTTCTAAGGTTTTGGGGCTCCGATGAGAAGCGAATCGGATCCGCTGGATGGCGATGGCGGTGTTCTTGAAGTTCTAGGGGGTCAGGTTCGGAAAGGTATTCTCTTCGCCGCTAGATCGGGCGATGGCGATGGCGATTGCTGGCTTCGTCTACCGGGTAATTCTTCTCAATTTTCAATAGAAGCTAGTGGGTTGAAGTGTTAGAGATGGGATTTTGATGTGGTTTGTGCAGTAATTGGTTGCTATTTCTTAATTTGTGCTTCAATTGGAGCATTCGAAGTTTGTTTTTTGAGTTGAAATCTGATTCCCAATTTATGTTAGGAATTTGCGGATGGAATTAATAAAAAATTAGATTTTGGGTAGGAATTGTGTAGAAATTGGTCACTTATATTTGGATATTTGTGAAGAGAAAACCCACGGGACTAGTAGTCCTGTGGTTTCTTTGAGTTTAGTTTAGTGGCCGATTAGTGGCCACTAAACACACGGAACTACTAGTCCCGTATGTTTTAAAACTCAAATTCAGCAAAATCGACATTTTTTGGCCAGCCTTGATGAGCCGGCCAAAAATATGTCGATTTTGCTAAATATTTAGCAAAATTGTCGGTTTTGCTAAATATTTTTTAAAAACAGCCAATTTCAAAAATTTCTCCAACTTGAAATATCCAATAAAGCGAAAATTTCAATTTCAGGATATTTAAGATTCCCTTGCCTCATTTGTAAACCTACAATACAGAATCATAGATATGCTTCAATTCGCAAACCAGTAGGCAAGGAGGACTAGAGGAAAATTGGTAGGAAGGTACCTTGTGAGAGGTCAAAGTTTAAGGCATGCTAAGTGTGAGGAAGTTTCTTCTCTCTGTTCAGAGGGGGTTGAAGAGACCACCTTATATTCAAAATAAAAGAAGAAAGGCATACAAGTATATTTTTCTTCATGTCGAGATAAGCCTCTTCCATGCATATATACAGTTCTTACACAGATCAGCGAGTGGAATACCGAATACTTATTAGTGGTAGAAGTGGATATTACTCTCAAGCTATAAAGATGCATTTCAATTTACATCTACAGGCGAAACGGTTTGTGTAAGGTAGAAGTTAAGGAAAATATATCACAATCGAATTTCACGTGTTGTACAGTATAGACTACAGAGACTACTATCAAGGAACCATGCAAGGGAGAAACATGAGAAACGACATTACTTGATGAATCATAACTAATGTACATTTATTTTTTAGAATTTTTTGTTGTGTCGGTGTTTCAAGTGATGTCTGCATTAAACATAAAACACTTAGATTATCTGGAAGTATTAAAGTAAAAACAAAAAGAAGTGTTGAACCTTTCAATATTCACTCTTCCAGTTTACGTTTTAGCTTCTTATGTTTAAGATGTAAATGTAAATAAAACGAAATGCAACCATGGTTAACAACAACTTTGCAAGCTTACCTCACTGGTTGCTGAAGCACAAAAGCCTCTTGCTGCCGAACAAGCAAAGCATAAGCACTACTAGGATCATGTATAAGTTGCTCATGCGTCCCATACTCCAATATCTTCCCATCATGGACAACAGCAATAGTGTCTGCATTTCTAACTGTTGATAGCCTGTGCGCCACCACCAATGTCGTCCGGCCAACCATAGTTTTATCAAGCGCCTCTTGAATGCTCTTTTCCGATTCAAGATCAAGCGCACTTGTGGCCTCATCAAGGAGAAGTATTGCAGGGTTCTTCAGAATTGCTCTTGAAATTGCAATACGTTGCTTCTGCCCTCCTGATAGTTGGATTCCATGCTCACCAACCTTCAGCAAAGCCCAATTTAGCCATGAGATTTTAAAAGAATAAAGAAACCCGAACAAATCAGGATAAAAGCCATTTTGACTACAGTAAATTGAACAAATACCTGTGTGTCGTAACCATTAGGAAGATTTTCGATGAATGAGATGGAGGCTGATAGTTTAGTAGCATTATCTATCTCTTCCCGAGTAGCATCAAGTTTTCCATAAAGGATATTCTCTAGAATGCTTGCTGCAAAAAGGGTTGGTTCTTGACTGACTAGCCCGATTTGCACTCTTAGCCATTTGAGATCAAGGCTATTGATGTCATGCCCATCCAACAATATAACTCCAAAATGTGGCTGATAGAACCGTTCCATGAGTGAGATCACCGTGCTCTTACCCGAACCACTTTTTCCAACAAGTGCTACAACCTTTCCTGATGGTACATCCAAATTTAGCCCTTTAAGAATAAGGACTTCAGGGCGTGTTGGATAACTAAAGTGTACATTGCAGAACTGAATATGCCCTTTCACACAAGGTAGCGCCTTCCCAGTTTCTGCACATGCCTTCTTAATGGTGCTCCTCTCAATCATCTGAAAGATGGGAAATGCAACGGTCCTTGCCCGGATAAACGTTGAAATATTTGGTGCGGCTTGTCCTAGTGACCTGTTCAGAATAGCAAAGAATCTGATGTTTATCGCGGAATGATGTTCAGGCATGAGCTTAGAGGAGAGGATGTGCAAAAACACGATTAGAATGGTGAACAGACTAATAAAATAAATCTAGAGAAAACAAACTAATAAGATGGTGTACTATGATTAGAACATAGAGATCATGATCGCCTCAAACTAATTTGACTTGATTATCAATAGAACAATATAAACAATGCCTATTATTGTTCCCCAACTGTTACCGCATGCATAATCAAATTTTCAAGTCAATTTCCACAGTTAAGAGTCAAAAGCATTGAGGACTTACATGCCAGCCGTAACAACATTGAGCATGGTGGTGAATGATTCTGCCCCATTTGCTATTTTCTTGTGTACAATGATACTAGTGAACCAAACAAGCAATACCCAGGAGGAAAAAAGAACACAATACATGGATCCAAGCCCAAGACCTTTAACTAAACCGCCCTTCTTTCCATATTCATAAGATTTTAAAAGAGCTATGCCATATGATTTCACGGCCTTTTCTTCTCCGACAAATGCCTGTACCGTCCGAACATTTCCAATCACCTGTACCATAAATATTATAAAGTGTCCATTTCTGGTTCAGTCACAAATGCCACCAAGCACTAGTTAGTAAAGAAAATCAACCTCCTTGGCAATTTCCCCAGCCTTTGCATAGGATTTTCCCACTTCAGCCACAAACCCAGATGCTATATATGCATATATGCCTCCAGTAATGGCAATCAAGGGAACTACAGAAAGAGTCACAACAGTAATTTGCCATATGCAACTGAACCCAATTGCAAAACCTACAATAAAACGGCTCATATAATGCATGAAGTTTCCAATCTGCAAAAGTATAAAAATAAGAAATCAGTCTGCTTCAAAGGTAAAATAGTCCGGGAGATCTAAGGATTATTTTCTGCTTCAGTCTTAGACAACACCTTCCAATATAAAATATGAAGTCATAATCCCCTCTTCCAACTCTAGAGATTTTGGATTCACTAGCCTTGAGAATAAAGTCTAACTTCATAATCTTTTTAGAGGTTGGTGGGTATCATATGATGTATGAGGGGACTCCCTCGTTTACTGTGATGTGGTGCAATCTCAACAAAATGCTGCTACGACGGTTTCTCTCTCCCCTTTACCACTTGTTTGAGGTTGAGCCACATTACTGTCATATGAGATAGTCCCCTCATATGACAAGGATACCCATTATTCTCTTTTCTTTTCTTTTTTTTTAATAGAAAAGTAGTTAACTGCAATTTCATGCAAAATAAAAAAAAAATCAATAAAAAGAAACCAAATAGCATAATGTGCAAAAAACTGTAATTCACAAACCTTTTCTGAAATTGCATCCTGTATCAAAAATATATCACCATTAATGGCAGTGGTCAATTCCCCTGTCAATATTTTAGAATCAAATACTCCTATATCTTGATCCAGCACAGATTGTAGATATGCTAGTCGTAACTTTCTGGATTGCCTCTCACCAGTATGCATCCAGCAAGCAACCTCTGTGAAAGTAAAGAAGGAAATCAAAGGTTATATTGAAAAGGAATATAAATTAATTAGGATTATAAATTTTCATAATCTACCACAATACGAAGGTGAAAATAAATGCTCATAATAGAATTTGAGTTTGTTAAATATTTTACTGCAGTCATTCAGCTTTAACATTTCTCATGATAAATCAACGTGCTCTTTTAATGTTTATTTTTATCACCTTCACACCAGACTGTATCAAAAAATGAAATAATTCTGCAAATCCTATTAGTGCCATGTACCTGACCATGATGAAAACAGTGTAACAACTCCCAAGTAAACAAAGTATAGTGCAAACTGCAAGGAATAAGAGAAAACTTAGAATGTAACAGTATATATTGTAATAAGAAATAAAATTAAAATGGAAGACTGAGTAATTTTCAACTAATGTTAAAATTTGGATGCAATTTGCAAATCAAGCCATTTCTGATAACAATGGGAACCAACCATGATATTCCCAATGGAAATTGGTGGAGTTTATGCTTGTAGAAGAAGAAAAATTCAGAGGTTTGATATAGCCACTTACTTCAGAGGAATTCTTCACTGTAATAACTTAAAGAAGAAATAGCAGTAGCTAGTAAATCACAATGTGCACTTGTATCTCATTAGTTGCACGAGATAGAACTTAAGAGTGTCTAACTCTCCATTATCATATGAAAGATAGCATATTATGTAGAATCTACACCTCTAAGATGAATTCATATCATATCGGGCATACAATCATGTGCAACTTTTAGATGTTGCTACACGTCCATGTGTGTTGTCCGTGTAAGAATGTCTATGCCTGCACAACATGGATTGTAATTAACGTGGAGTCCAACTATGGTGAGTCAAGTAACCTAACTACGGGTGGAGTTAGAAGAGGATCTTATAGTGTAATCATCTGACTATTATCCTTTTTCTCTATATATTGCTGTGACTAATCATCTCTTACAGTTAGAAGAGGAACTTTGAGTGTAATTATCCGACTCTTATCCTTTTTCTCTATATATTGATGTGACTCATCGTCCCTTACAGTTAGAAGATGAACCTTGACCACATTTTTGTCCTTTCTGGAGGGAAAGAAAAAACAAGAAAAAGCATCACGCCGTCTAACCTGGCTACTTCTCAGTATACTAAAGCACTACTATCGAACCGATGATTGAGTGATATGTGAGATGTTATGCAATGCAGAAGGTCCAAAAGGACTGAATAGTTTGGTACCATATGCCACTTTATTAAGTCTTTTAGTTGAACAAAAAAGAAATATGTCTAGTTAACATTGCCAATAATTAGGGGCTGTTTGGTAGGGTAGGAAATGGGTGCAAACCCATTTATAGAAACCGCTTTCTAAAAGTGGTTTTCCTTTTTGTTTGGATAGGAAACTTTGGGAACCCATTTCCTAAAATTGGATAAATTCACAATTTTTTAGGAAATCCAATTCCATTCCAAATTGTAGAAAATGGGTTGGAAACCTACTTTTTTTTTCTTGGAATTTGGTTTCTTTTTCGTATAGGAATTTTTATACGATTTCATCTGAGTGGCATATTTCTGTACTCCTTAAAAAGCTAATAGAATGACAGGGAATTCGTAGACTGGTCCCCGACCTGCAGGTTCTCATAACCCATGCTTCCAAGTTCTCCTCCAATGAGAGGTGCCCATGAAGCTAACAAGTAATAAATAGACTGAAAGTGACCATGCCTAGATTAGACCCATGTTTGCAAGTTCTCCAACAAGGAGTGCCCATATGAAAGACCAGCAGACTTTAATGGACTGGGCCAAAGGAGTGAAAATTGGTATTTAACAACAGACTTGGTCCCGTTACTATATTTATAATTTGAAATTTAGAAGAAAAGTGGTTATGAAAGACAGTGATTTGTCTCGGAAATAACTTAACAGTTTTACATCATTTTATATTTTTAAGGGGAAGACATAAAGATCTGTCCACTACTGCTAGTTATATCTAGATTGGTAGCATTCAGTTATCTTCTCATGAGAGAAATTTCAAACAATATAGCCAACATGATTTGGATATACGATCACTTCATTCACAGAATCCCACTACCTACAGGCTACAGTTCAACTTCCCACCAAGGCCTTGCTCAGTTGGTAAGGGGTTGAGAGTGGGTTGTGGAAATGCAGTACAGCAAGAACATCCATCTTGTCACTGAGGTTTAGCTTTAGCTTCATATACAAGGGTGAAGTGGTTCTGCAGAGTTCACAAGTTCAAGTCTTGCAACTAGCACAAAGAAATGGTACAAATTTCCATTTTGTTATCAGCGGCCGACCCGGAAATTTAAGATAATGACTTTGTTGTTGTTGTTCTTATAAGTTAGAACTATTGAACCCACAAGTGTAATCCTAAAGAGGGTAGAAAATAAGAAGTTCTCTCTCCTAAGCTGATAATTACATTAAAAAAAATCATATTTTCTCTGTTGAAAATGCAATTAAACATATGTGTCTTTGCACCTGTGCAAATATTCCTCTTCTAGAACAGTGTATGAGATCTTCTTATCCTAGCAAAAGACCTTTTGTTGGGTACACTTGTTAGCCGTATTTTTTTGACAATTGAAAAAAATGGCAGACCCTGCAAAAATTAATGGCACCGAAAGTGGAAAGCAGCACTGAAAGGTTGGCACAGTAAAAAAAAATATTATAAAATTATGAATAGTATTTTCCCAGCTACTATAAATAGGCCCAAAACTCTTCAGGAGAAAATCATCACAACAACAATTCCAATCTCCACATAGAAGAGTTGGAGAAAAATAAAGAGAGCTTCTCCTTGTAAAGAGAGAGATTGTAAAGTCCTAAAATTCCTCATAGTGAATTCTTCTATCCTTACCCGTGATTTTTACCCCAAATTTATTTAGGGAGTTTTCCACGTAAATATGTGTATTCATTTTATTACTTCTGCTCTACTATTCGTTGGGACTTTGCTCTATTGAGCCTCGGGTTTATCCTAACAAGTGGTATCAGAGTCTGACTTATGGTGTGTGTATTTACTTATCGTATGCTCTGTGACTGCCACCAAATGTGGATCATCCACATCAGAAAAAAAGTTAGATTATCATTTACCCTTTTAAAGCGACGATACTATTCACGAGTACAGTATTGTTCATAAATATGATATTATTCACAAGTGCAGTACTATTCACGAATACGATTATTGTTCATAAATATAGTTATTGTTTACGCGAAATAGTAAGAAGTTACTATTCGTGATAGAAGCAATGGCGGCGTAGTTCGAGATCAAGAAATTCAACGGGAGTAATTTCTCACTGTGGAAGTTGAAGATAAAAACTATCTTGAGAAAAGATAATTATCTAGTGGTCATCGGTGCAAGGCCAGTAACATCACAGATGATAAGAAGTGGAACGAGATGGACGAAAATGCTATTGTTAATCTCTATCTGACATTAGTAAATGGGGTGCTATCAAACATAGAGAAGAAGAAGACAGCAAAGAAAATTTGGGATACTCTAACAAAACCATATGAGGAAAAATCCATGCATAACAAAATCTTCTTAAAAAGGAGATTTTACACTCCCCTGAGGACGGCGAAATCTATATCAATGACCGACCACATCAACACCTTAAACACATTGTTCTCCCAACTCACAACGTTGAGGCATGCAATCGGTGTGAATGAACGTGTAGAGCTTCTACTTGAGAGTCTACCTGACTCGTATGATCAGCTCATCATCAATCTCACAAACAACGTCCTTACGGACAATCTAGTCTTCAATAACGTTGTAGCTGCTGTTCTGGAGGAAGAAAGACGACGCAAAAATAAGGAAGACAGACAGGCAAGTTCGCGACAAGGGGAGGCCTTATCCGTGACGAGAGAAAAATCAATGGAACGTGGCTCCAGTGGGAGTCATGATCATGGTAGATCAAAATCAAAAAGTAAGAAAAATATCAAATGCTATAACTACAAAAAAAAGGCACGTGAAATCGGAGTGTTGGCATAATAAGAAGAGTGGTGATAAAAAATCTTCAGAGCCATCAACATCTCAAGGATACGTTATCAGCACATCAGATGGTGATGAAATTTTATACAGTGGAGCAATCACTAATGAAGACAGAAAGAGGTTTGCTGATGCCTAGCTTCTAAATTCAGCAGCTTTCTGGCACATGACCTCACGAAGAGAATAGTTCCACAAATATGAACCTATCTCAGGAGGATGTATATTCATTGACGATGATCATGCCTTGAAGATTTCTAGTATCGGCACTATCAAAATTAAAAGATTTGATGGTACAATACACATCATTCAAGATGTGCGACATGTGAAGGGCTTGAAGAAGAATATATTATCTTTAGGATAATTAGATGAGCTCGGATGCAAGACCCATATAGAAAACGGGATCATGAAGATTATTAGAATGGCGCTTGTTGTGATAAAAAGAGAAAAAATAGCTGTAAATCTATACATAATCAATGAAAAATCCTGCAGGAAGCTGATTCATATGTGGCATCAACTAGCAGTGGAAAAGAAGAAACCATGATATGGTACTGTAAATTAGGTCACATGTCAGAATGAAGAAGAAATCATGATCAGAAGTTGTTTTCTGGACTTAGTTCGATAGCTCTTCCATTCTGGGAGCATTGTGTTACAAGTAAACAGCATCGGGTGAAGTTCAACACATCGAGTTCTAGAAGTAATGTTATTCTGAAACTGGTTCATTCTAATGTATGGCAAGCATCAGTTATATTTATGGAAGAAGCAAAATATTTCGTGTCCTTTATTGATGATTATTTCAGGAGATGTTGGGTGTATCCTATCAAGAAAAAGGTGAATGTGTTCTCAATCTTTAAAGCCTACAAAGCGCGAGTCGAGCTTTAATCTAAAAAAAAAGATCAAGTGCTTGAGATTAGATAATGAAAGAGAATACACAGGCGGTGAATTTTTTACATTCTGCAAGTAAGAAGACATCAAAAGATAATTCAGTACTGCTTATACTCCTCAATAAAATGGAGTAGCGAAGCGAATGAACAAAACTCTGTTAGAAAGAACAATACCAATGTTTGTAACTGTAAATCTGGATAAAGTCTTTTGGACGGGAGCAGTAAAAAGTAAAAACCGTCTGTTATGTGGTGAATTGATCTCCATCAACCGCAATACAGTTAAAGACGTCGATGGAGATGTGAACCGACAAATCAGCTGATTATTCTAACCTTTATATATTTGAAAGTTCAGTGTACGTAATGTACAATGCCTAAGAAATTACAAAGCTAGATTCAAAATTAGGAAAATACATATTCTTGGGGTATGCTGACGGAGTAAATGGGTAGCGCTTGTGAGATCCCACTACCCGTAAGATTATCGTCAGCAGAGATGTTATCTTTGTAGAGAATCAACTACAAAGTGAAGAGAAAGAAAGTTGTTTAATGAAGAACTCAGAGACTATAGTTGTTCAGGTAGAAAATAACATAAATTCTTATGAAACAACACCAGAGCATGATGTACAAGAACCAGTCGAGTTCAAGGCTCCAGAAATTCAAAGGTCAACTCGCGAGAGAAGACTACCTAGTTGGCACTCAGAGTATATTACGAAGAGTAATGTTACATATTGTCTTCTAACAGAGGATGAAGAGCCATTAACTTTCATGAAGTTATAAACAACACAGATGTACATTTGTGAATGACAGCAATGCAAGAAGAAATTGAAGCTCTCCATAAGAATAAGACTTGCGTACTTGTGTCACTACCACAAAGAAGGAAGGCTATTAGAAATAAATAAGTCTACAAGATCAAGTGAAATGGAGATGATCAAGTGGAGTGATATCATGCTAGATTGGTAATAAAAGGATATACTCAGAAAGAAGGTATTGCCTTTAATAAAATATTTTCTCTTGTAGTTCGACTTACAACAGTCCAAATAGTCATAGCTATGAGCGCTATATTTGACTTACATTTAGAGTAGCTAGATGTGAAAACAATATTTTTTCATGAAGATCTTAAAAAAGAAATTTATATGCTCTAACCAGAAAGTTTCGAAAAAAAAAGAAAAAGAGAACTTAATTTGCAGATTGAACAAATCTCTGTACGGTCTAAAGCAGGTGTCGAGGTGTTAGTGCAATAAATTTAATTCATTCATCATGATACTTAAATATAACAGACTTAATCAGACCCTTGTGCATATTTCAAGAGGTTTGGTAAAAATAACTTTATTATCTTATTATTGTATGTTGATGACATGTTAGTTGCAGGCCCCAACAAAAATCGTATTAAAGAATTAAAGACACAGTTGGCTAGAGAATTTAAAATAAATGATTTAGAATCTGCAAACAAGATTCTAGGGATGCAAATTTACCGATAGAAATTCTATGAAGCACGGACATGCATAACATGAAGTCGTGTCGTGTCGTGTCCGTGTCGGACACACGTGTCGAACACACGTATCCTATGTATTTTTTAGGATTTGCCTCGTGTCGGCGTGTCGGATGGCCGTGTCGGATCCGTGTCCGTGCTACATAGGACAGAATTAATAGTAAGAGTTGGCTACAAAATTAATAGGAAGATTTGGCTTTCTCAGAAGAATTATTTAAAGAAAATTTTGCCACGCTTTGACATGCAAAATTGTAAGTCAAATTTTATCATACTTAATTTTAAGTTATCATCCAGTATGAGTCCTAGTAGTGAAGAAGAGAGGATGAAGATGTCTCAAGCACCGTATGCATCAGCAGTAGAAAGTCTAATGTTCGCTATGATTTATATAAGACCAGACATTGCACAAATAGTAAGAGTGATTAGTCGATACATGGCGAATTCTAGTAAAGAGCATTGGAATGCTGTAAAGAGGATTATAAGATACATTAAGGGAACCTCAAATGTTACAATATGTTATGGGGAATCAGATTTCATTGTCAATGGATATGTTGAATCTGATTATGCAGGTGATCGTGATAATAGTAAATTCACCATATATTATATGTTTGTACTTGATGCCGGCGCTGTAAGCTAGGTTTCAAAACTACTGTCAGTTGTGACTACTTCAACAACAGAAGCAGAATATATAACAGTTACACAAGCTAGTAAATAGGCGATATAGTTGAAGATGGTGCTAGAGAAACTCGGACATGAACAAAAGAAGATTTTTCTATTTTGTGATAGTTAGAGTGCTTTGTGTTTGGTAAGAAAGCCAGTCTTTCATTCAAAGACAAAGCACATTCGAGTTCAGTACCACTTCGTTCATGAGAAAGTGGAAGAAGGAACGGTGGATATGCGAAAAATTCACACCAAAGATAACCTAACAGATTTTTTAATAAAAACAATCAATATTGATAAATTTATTTGGTATCGATCCTCTTGTGGTCTGTCAGAGATGTAAGCAACATGAAGATGGTAAGATAGAAAGAATGGTGTGAAGATATGATTGATACTCAATCAAATCTTGAAGTAAGGGATTGTTAGCCGTACCTTTTTGACAATTGAAAAAAAAATGGCGGACCATACAAAAATTAATGGCACCGAAAGTGAAAAGTGGGCATCGAAATGTTGGCACAATAAAAAAATATATTATAAAATTATGAATAGTATTTTCTCGGCTGCTATAAATAGGTCCAAAATTCTTCAGAAGAAAACCATCCCAACAACAATTCTAATTTTCACATATAGAAGAGTGAGCGAAAAATAAAGAGAGTTTCTCCTTGTAAAGAGAGAGATTGTAAACTCCTAAAATTCCTCGTAGTGAATTGTTCTATCATTGCCCGTGGTTTTTACCCTAAATTCATTTAAGGGGTTTTTTACGTAAATTTGTGTGTTCATTTTATTACTTATGCTCTACTATTCGCTGAGACCTTGCTCTACTGAGCCCCGGGTTTGTTCCAACACCACTAGCACAAGACATTACCATTTTGACTATCTTCTATATAATCATACTATATATCCTAACTGTCTACATAAAATTAGCAAAAAAAGGAGGAAAATATATTGTGCAAACATTAGTAGGCCATATATATATTAGTTGTGAATATCCTATTCTAAAGAACACTGATAAAGATAACAATATTGTCATAATGCACATATTGTTGGTACCTTGCCAACTCTATGCGTAACTGTAGCAGGAGAGAGATAAGCAATGGCGAATTCATTTATAAGTTTCCCGAAGAAGATGAAGAACACCGGCAGTGAGGTTCCATGCACACATGCACCGATTGATCCCAAGACCATGAGGATGTAATCCCATGTCTCTGCAAAGGAGAAGAGCCTGAAGAAGGAAATCCTGTAAGCTTTTTCCTCTCCTGCAGAGATGCTATCAGTCCCTACAGTGCTCATTTTTAGTCTTGCAGTGTAGGAAAATAATGCAGAAGATAGCTAAAAGTACTGACATTTATAGAATGCTACAGAATGTTAAACGTGGAAGCATTGTCAGAATAACGTGTAGCTAAGATTATTGTTTACAGTAGATGGTTGGAGATTATGGCTCCAGTCTATTTAATGTTGTCGGCTCAGGATAATGGGCTCAATATGGACACAAAAATATATCTTTGTTTACTGTAACCAGATATGGATCCTTAAAGGATCCAACCTGATAACTTAAGAGGAGTTCTAGCCACACTCACGTGAAGCGACTGCCGCTATCACTCGCTTCAAGGGGTGGCCACGTGTCCCATAAACCCAACTTAACCTCAACTTAACCCTAACCAAAAACTAAACCCAACACCCACCCCTTTAGATTTTAGGCAAGTGTCCAAGGACAGTCGCGAAAAGCTACTGTCTTTAGACTTCTTCGATAACTTATAACCTGATAAAGGAAATATGTATTGTGATTTCTTTTACAAATATGCATAATTGTTGATGGGGAACAGGTTGAGATGGCAGTGAACTGGACAACAGGTGTAGTCTTTTGGGAATTGTTTTGGTTTCAGAAGTCTTTGGTGACTGTTGGACTAGTTTTAACAGTTTTTCAAGGAGTTTTGTCCTGCTGGATATAGAGTTAAGGTTCTGAATGCTGCGGTAAGAGAAGAAAGATAGACCGATGTGAGTATGCCTGGTTGTTAGCTTGCCTTCAAGAGATAAGCTTTAGCCTCACACCAATATGCAAATTACATGCATTCAAGGGACAGGATTTAGTCACACCGACATGTAAATTATATGCACTCAACCATTGGATTTTCATCACAAAATCAAAATCAATGTCTCCATATCAAATCTAAAAGTTACAATGATAAATATTTAAAAGTATGCGGAAGCAATGATGAAAATGGTAATAATCATAAAAGAAATATGTCATTCTAGTTAAAAGTTAAAAAAATAAGTTTAACTTAATTGCATGCAATATTAAGAAATAATTAATGATAAGACTCACGAATCACGAGGTTAAGAGCTTTAGAAAATGAAACATAAGAATAAATTCTTATGTTACATCCCATGAAGTGAATCAGGTCACCATCCACACTTTCCTCCACCAAGTCTTCTTCTAAAAGTTTATGTTAAGAGTGACTTTTGGCTCTCATTTACCTTAGAAATCGACCATTTTATAGCTGTTTTCCTGCAAAATAGGACCCTCTTGCATCCAGCATGAGCACTGCGTCCAAAGCCACTTATTGACACCATTCAGATTCTACTTGTTTCTTCAAATATCAGTCACCTGTTAAAACATCATTAACATAGTTGTACCTCTCTTATGCAGAAATATTTGTGAAAAACTTCCTTCAGGCTTAACTCAAATCTTTTGGTTCCTTCCCTCCAATATCTCAAATACAGTGCCACCGTCACCCTCAACTAACTTCTTATTTAAAATTATACTTAGTTGAGAACAAGTCATGGTCATAATTAACATATTCCGTATGCCTGTCTTAAATTTCTACAGCCAACCTCCATCATCATTAAATTAACTTCTTATTTATTATTATATTTAATTAGATGAGAAAAAGTTATAGTCACAATTATAACATTTCGTGTGCCTCTCTTAAATTTCCACAACCAACCTCCCATCTGAGGATCCAATAACATCCCCTTAGTCCCCTTTCTTTGTAGGCACTTCAAAACGATCTGGGACTTGGCAACAACAAATGCATGCAGGCTTGTTGCTTTTATTATAAGGGTTTTTCTATAGAGTGTCCATGGGCACTCTATAAGAGAGGAGAGAGATAAAGAGAAGTGAATTACCGATAAAATTTAGTGCAAATCAGAAGGGCCCATGGGCAATTCACTTCTCTCTATCTCTCTCCTCTCTTATAGAGTGCTCATGGACACTCTACAGAAAAACCCTTATTATAATTACTCACGACATCGATATTTCTTATTTACTGAGAAGTATGTGCTTAAAGGCATCCCTCATTATTTTTACAAGATCTTCTGTTTCCTCTTAATTTCTCTTCAAATGTACTAAATTCTGCAACTTACCATCATAATTAGAAGAAATTTTCAAAACAACCTCAAACCATGTTTTAATTTTCAAAACCGACCCAATTTTTTTTTACCAAAATCGACCCACTTTTTACCACGTCAGTTTAACCCCATTCCTAAACAGTCGGGATTGGCAACCCCGACTGTTTAGGAGATTGTTAAACCCTAATTAGAAGCCTTAAACCTGATTTTTTATGCCCTAAATAGTCGGGGTTGGCAACCCCGACTAATTAGGAAATGAGATTAAGCTGACGTGGCAAAAAGTGAGTTGATTTTGGTAAAAAAAAAAGTTGGTCGGTTTTGAAAATTTCTTCTCATAATTAACACCGTTGTCATTATAATTGTTAACTATTCTTACAGGAAAAATTCTTCAAGGACCCAAAATATAGGACCAATAGAGGGCACAAGTGAGGCGTCCCCTTCCTATTGGATAATGAGTTGGCCATCATTAATGATGACCAACTCATTATCCAATAGAAGGGGGACGTCTCACTTGTCCCTTTTATTAGTCCTATATTTTTGGTCCATGTAGCAAAGCTCATTCTTACAATTTCTCAACCATAACAAACAGTCATCTTGATAGGAAATCCAGTTGGCTCCTTTGCCCGAAGCATGACGACCAAATTACGGCCTTAATTCACACGTAAATATCGGGTTCGCATTTATTCCTACTACGGGAGGGTGCTATATATGATGGAGGGAATAATGTGGGGAATTGTGGATGGAAAAAATAAAAAAAATACGCCAGATGGGCAAGCAAAATATTTGTTCATTTCGTCGTCCCACATGAACTACTACGATTACCAACGGAAATTGCTACTAGAAGAAGAAGAAAAAATTTACGAGTTTACAAAGGTAGCAATTTTACGGAAATTGCTACATTTTGAAGGGAAGGAAAAAAAAACTAGCCTTTCCATCTGTATGACTTACAAATGTGTATTGTTGATCGCCAGCTTCTTCATTTGGCGCAAAACTTTGAAGCTGGGGATCATTTTGTTTCTGTACGTAGTCCATCTTCTTGAATTCACCTGAATCATCAAGTAAATGGAAGAAGAAAAAAAACCTCGTTGATTCAGCCTGAATCGCGGTAAAAGTAAAGCTTTATCTGGTTATTTTTCCGATAAAGATTGTTACAAATTCTGACATCACTCTTTGGAGAGAAATCACAGCTGTAATAGCAAAAAAAAATTTAAAAAAAGAAAGACCTTTAAAAATTAGAATTTTTTTGGGGGGGAAGAGAGCTTACCTCGATGGTTTGATGACGGCGGCGAGAACCCGTAGGGTACGGTGTCGCGCGAGGAGTCCGGCGGGGGGGGGGGCAGGAGGGATGCCGGTGGGGGGGCCACGAAAGGTGACTGAAGCGCTGACGGTATGTAGCGTCCCCTTCACCCAGGTGGTGTGCCGAGGTTAATTACGTGGAGGGATCTAGGCCGTTCGATTTGATAGAGACAGTTTCAGCAAATACCCAAAAAAAACAAATTCTCGAATCAGCCCTTGGGATTATTTGTGAAGAAATTTTCAAAATAGCATCAAACTTTTTTTTTTTGAAATAAACCTTCTAACCCGACTAATTAGGAAGGCGTTTAAAAAAAATAGATCTATTTTCTGGTCACGGTGCTGACGTGGCCAAAAAAGTAAATCTATTTCTGTAATAAAAACGTAAGAGGGTCGATTTAAAAAAAAAATGGTTTAGAGCTATTTTGAAATTTTCTTCAATTATTTGTAGATAATAAACATCACAGAGTCGTTCACCTATTTATCTAGAAATGAATTTTGCACCAAATTTATGGGAGCAGCTGTGTTGGTGTCGCTGATATTGGATGGAATATCAAGAAAATAACATGTATCGTATTATCTTATAGTTTACATTGATCTTATTGATTTTATCCTAAAAATTAAGAAACACTTTTTTAAGATGAAATAGTTTATGAGCTATCATTTAACAAGGTCATGTTAACAGACGGCTGAGGGTCCTAAAGCGGTTAATAGATTTTTTTTTTTTCTTTCTTTCTCCCCCTCTTATTTAAGATAAATGACATTCATTAATATTTTTTTCATTTAGTGCCCTTTTTTTTAACATCTTAATAAAAAAGAATCAAAATGCTAAAAGGAACCTTGTGATATGAAAGTGCCGAGGGGAAAAGGATAGAATATTTAAGTGCAAATTGGTAAAACGATGAAATATCTTGTTCCAATCTAGTTATGCTACAATGATTAATATTTGAGAAAGATTTGCAATTAAGTAAATACATCTTCCAGCCAATGAAAAAATTGAAACTAAGCGTGTTTTGCTTTCTATCCTTTATATATCTGAGCTAGAGAGAGTCATTTCTTCTTCATTTTTCATTAGAGCTGCACTAAAATTTTCTTTCCTGTAGCAATAAAAGGTAGAAGGGTTAAATCATTCCTGACATAAATAAAAAGGCGGGGAAAAACAATTTCAAGCCCTTAGGACTTTTGACATGTCAAATATTACAAAATAGAATATACGAAAATACATAATGCGCGGGGAAAAAATTCCCCAGTGTTATCACATTTATATTGAATAGCCAGTTTACCATCAGAAGCTGCAGTATAAGCAAATTAATTCTTTTATCAATATGACTGTTGTGAGTTGGCAGAGAAAACTCGGACACAAGCTTTCGAGGAAAATATTTACAGATAAAACACAAAAAAAACTAAGTGAAAGGTTTGAATGTGATATTTTTTTTAAATTTGTTATTTGGGGGGTCATTTTCTACGTGCATTAGTCGTAATGGAGAATAGCAAAGCAACTTCTACCAAACTTCATAGAGCAAAGGATACAACATCTTCTTGGGTGAAAACAGAGATGGAAACTTTGAAACCTACCAAACTTCATAGAGCAAAGGATACAACATCTTCTTGGGTGAAAACAGAGATGGAAACTTTGAAACCATCGCTTACTAAATCGAGGAGCAATGGATCCATGGTGTACATGAGTAGGATACAACATCTCCGATCTACTCAGCAAATTACATCCGTGAAAATACCGCAAGTTCTTGTTTACGCATGCTGCTCATATAGCTCAACTAGTACTGCCGAGCAAAAATTAGCTCGTACGAGCGTTAGAACAATCCTACAGAGGGAATACCGTATAGGAAAGAAGTGTGCACAGGGTGCCAAGAAGATGATGACAGTTCGCGTGTATCATGCAGTCACCATTGGTAGTTTGGTACAGTCACATATCTATTAATGCAATCACGACTGTTCTGATGGATAATGATGACTGTGCCGACAGATACAACCAAACACCAAAAAAAACAAAAAACAAAAAACGCAAGGAGCTAATTCCTGATTATTTTTTCTAGAGTACCCAAGGAGGTAGTATTATCTTTTGGGGGTTATCTTTGATGTCATTATATGTCTGTGAATGTTGATGTGCGTAAGTTCTCATGCATTCAAAGTTTAAATTGTCACAGAATCAAAAGGTCTGCAGCTGAAGGCACACGAGAATTGAACGTACGTACGTTTCAGTAATAACTACAGAAACTCGCCTTTCTTCATCCCATCTCAGCGTGCGATCACACATGCCTATTGCCCTTAGTTGGAAGAATAAGTCCATAATGAACCTGTGCCTGTTGAAGTTTTAGAGAAACGTGAGAACCTTGACTCTGGATTCCTTGAGCACCAAAAATAGCATTTAAAAACAATGAGACGAACTGTTGCTAGGCTAATGAACAAGGAAAGATCTTCAATAGAAAACAATTGAAAAACTCGTTATGAAGAGAGAATTCTTCGTACCTCCAATAACTCTGCTGCGACCCAGAATCTCATACATATGACGGCACCAACTAATAGCAAAAGTAGAATACAAAAACTGAGGCGTGTCTCATATGATACCTGGTTAGTTTGTGGCATTTGAACAGCAGCTAATTGTGTCTAAATCAGAATATTCTCAGCGGTTAGACTGTAATCAGTTGGTCGAGAAATCATCGCTACATATGCTATCCAAGATATGATGACATGTAATACCTGGAGACCAGAAGGCAACACGTACGAGTTTGGAACTGTGCCATCCGTCCGAGGAGCATGTTAATTTGGGGGGTGGATACCAACCTCTGCACCGGCGAGGAGCTCCGACGAGCTCGATGTCGACGAGGCGAAGCCACAGGTGAGGTCCAGGCTATCTTCGGCAGCGCCCCCCCGAGCTCTGCGTTCGAGCTCGAGCCCCACGTGCGAGCGCCTCCACCCAACTCTGCGTTCGAACGCAACTCTGCGTTTGGCGATGGCGTCCTTGCGTTCGAGCGCTCCCACCTCTGCGTTCGTGGGCCGCTGGCGACAGGCTGTCGCCAGCCCATCGATCTCCCCTATAAAAACCCCATCAGCTAGGGTTTTGTGACGCTGCTGGAGCCTTCCCCCTCTCTCCGATTTGTTCTTTCCTGGCGGCGGCTGATTTTTCCCCTTTCCGTTCTTCGTTCCCTCTTTTCTCCAGCGCTCAGAATTTTGGGATTTTTAAGGGGAGATTAAAAAGAGGATTTAAGAGGAGAGAGAGATCATTAAAGAGGATTAAAGAGGGTATTTATTGTGGGGTTATTCATTTATTCTCAAGTGAGAATTGAAAGGGTTCATACCCTTTAATTATTAACACTGTAGCTACAGTGTTTATCAGAGAAATCTCAGTTTTGAGATACGCTCCTAAATTGTAATTTCTTGTTTAATTAATAAGAAATTATCTGTGTGGCTCCCGAGGACGTAGGCAGTTGCCGAACCTCGTTAAATCTTGGTGTACTTTTCTATACTGCGTTTCCGTTGCAATTAGGGGTTTAGGCGTTAAATTCCTAACAGAGCAAAGGGAAGAAAGCTGGGGCTTGAGGTCGAGGAAAGAATGGAGTCGGAGGAGGGCCTGAAATAGTTTGATGCCTCTCGTCTAATAATGAGAATTTATTCGCGATCTAGACATGCAAGTAAATGAGAAATGCTCTTTTTATCTTCTTTCCCTCGTTGATTTCTGCTGCAATACTCGTAGCCTCTTTTGGTTTCCCTTGTTTGCTAGTATCATCAATGGAAACATTACATATAATTGGATTCTTTATTCCCTCGATTTGTTATCTTCTACAAAGTTAGTTTAAGGTTGAAGTTTTCCTGTCAGCTTGCTCAACAATTTGTGACCCGAGAGGGCATCAGCCATTTCAAATCCTCCAGGAGTCTGTAAACTTTTGTCCACAGCACAGAGCGCTTTGTGTATCAACATCCTGCGAAGAAATCAAGGATCTCTAGTATCCCCATGCTGACAAGATCAGGTTCCGATATTTTCCACGTTGATCTCAATGCTTTCCTTTGCTCAGGAGCAACTAGTTCGTTGTTATGACGAGGGTTGAAATAAAATCACTTCCCATACACCATCTATGACTTTGAAAATAATATGTTTGTTTGTTTTTTTTTTTAAATAAACTTTGGCATCCTCTCTGTTTACACTTATTTTCCTGTTCGTTTCAGATGGTGCTTTTCAAAACAAATTATACACTCCTCACCATAAAGATTAGATAATATCCAAGTCATCATTCTCAGGATTACTACCAAAAACATACCACAAGAGCTTACATACACAATATCACAGTCAATTCATCACGCGTAACGTAATGTAACTAGACGGGTAACCCAACATCATTCTCTATCCAAGACTAGTCATCATCGATCTCGATCACAATAGGCTCGTTACACCGTACAGACTCGCTGCTCCGTACCCTGGTACGGGCAAACATGTCAGGTACCTGACCGTTAAGGATTTTAATCTCCAACCTCAGATTCTTCTTGTCCATGAGCTCGAAAACGCACCCATCTCCAATCCTCAGCTTGTTGTCCACAGCGAAAAGCTTCCATCCATTCCCATCAAAGCGCCTTATAGAACGATCTCCTAGGTATCTCACCTTCCATGTATTTGTTTTGATGGAAAGGATAACGGGTACGTCAGAAGATGGTAGGAATGGATGAAACGCCCTAGGAACCGACTGCTTAAAGAAAACAAAGGAAATGAATATGTGGTGGTAAAAAAGCTCGGCGCATGTTGAGATAACCCCAAAAAAGTTCGGACTTGCCGCTTAACCCCCGAAACTATTGCATTTTTCAGAATCTATTTTCACATAACCCCTAAAAAGTTTAGTTACAAAAGCACACTTAAACATCAGCAATAATAGATCATATATATAACTGCTTATTTAAACTCTCACAAACTGTACATGAACGCAATTGAAGTTTTCATCGGCAAAGTTAGTAATAGAGTGATTGATATACACGAGCCAACCGTTTCATCGAAAAGAAGTTGAGAGATTACCAATTGGTAGGGGGGCTCCACTTGAGTTTTCATAAGGATGCATGTGAAAAAAGGATTGCCTGAAAGTGGTCCGACCTCTTCCTTAGATGTAATAATCACTTCATGGGCTTTTGGTCCAGCATTGTTCATGGCATCCTTGCCGTGCCTTTTACCTATTAATCGATAAACTTCTTAAAATAGCAAGCAAAATTCACATCAAAGTAAAGAAGTGATTCAAAGAGTCTATCCCTGAACACTATGACAGATTACAGGAAGCTAACCCAAAAAAGGGTTAATTGCGGTTGACCCCCTGTACTATCGCCCAATTGCAGATAGGCGCCCTGAAATTCTATCATTGCAGATACACCCCTAGCTGAAATTTTTGGACTCTTTTACTCTCAGAGAAAGAGATTTTTGTTCCTGACAAATAGACCTCCTAATGGTAAAAGAGTCAAAAAAAACATTTCGCTTACGGGGTCTTTTGCAAGTAGGTGTTAGTACAGGGGTGTATCTGCAACAATAGAACTATAGGGGGTCTATCTGCAACTGGACAATGGTACAGGGGTCTGTTCTCAATTAAGTCAAGAACACAACATCACTATACAAAATTTACTATTCTGATACCGAGAGGTCTGGTTGGTTCCTGGGCGAAGGGACGATGCCTGATGCAGGCATACTTGTGATCTGTATAGCGGTCGCACGAGTAGCAGCCCGAACGATTCATCTGAGATCAGAAAGAGAAAACTGTTCAGTGTACCCAACATGAGAGCCACTGATAGAAAATTTACTGTATGATACTTTCAGCATGAAGACATAAGTGTAACCTAACCCCTGTAGTTCAGCTTAACGCATTCAAAATTCTGAGTGAAAAATTAAACCACGTCGGTTAAATTTAACCGTCGCCAAACAATAGTGTTCTGTCTTATCTATTAACAAATTAAGACGGAAAAAGTGAATAGAAATAGAACTTCTCAAATAAATCATTGCCAGAGTATCTGAAAATTTTGCAACCTCAGCTCGATCAACTGCACGGAAACAGGAACAGTAATATCGAAGCGAAGCTACTTATGAGCTGGACTAGTTTTGTGTTGCACATACTGAAGTCACGGATGCTGCTTAAGGTTCGTAGCTCAATTAGTTTTCTCAAGGATAAAGCCTCTGTAAGGGAAAAGATAAATATTTTTTCCTAAAAGTTGCCTTCTAATAAGCCTTACATTTCATTTAATTGATACCAGGAGCTAAACCAACAGGTCACTAAATCAATTAAGCAAAGTCGCCAAAGAATAGAAACAAAGGGCATGCCACAAAAACTCTAAACAACGATCAATATATCTTGAGAAGATAGAAATGATATGTTCAGAAAATACATAAGAAACTGTTGTTTCTAAGGAAAATTACTAATGAAAGGATGACATGAGATGAAGAAAGGGGAAAAGAGGAAGAAGTACAAACTCACCATTAGGATTTGTGGGATTCAAAGCTTTCCTATGAGGAAGAACCGAAGAACCACTAGTGCTGCATCTTTATCAACATGAGTTTTTAATAGCCTTTATTGCCCACAACAGCCAAAGGCATATATGACTTCCAACGCACATTACCTTTTATTGGAGTTCCCAAAAATGGAAAGATACTACAAGAAGTAAACAATTAATACAGAGAAGTAACATGGATATAGTAATAATGAGTTTTGGTGACCCTCCTTAGAGCTACTATATAAAGTTGATTGACAGTTTTGACATGTATTTGCTGAACATAAAAAGAAATAAAGAAGAAAGAATCTGGTGGTTACGGCAGGCTTATGGCATTAAATGTGCACCCAAATAATAGTAATTATTGGATCTAAGCACGAATCTCAAAATCTAATTAGCTCACTGTTGACATCATTTGGGTGTACATTTAACGCTATAAACCCTGGTGCGCTTGATTCTTTACCCAATCCGTACAACTAAAAAGCAAAACTACTGTGATTTCCTAAACAACAGTGATTAATATAACAAGTTGGCTCCAGAACAGAAGTAATTTAGGTAAGTGTTTTGATCCTATCTTTTGCTACATGATGTGAGATTGGCCATTTCTTGAGCATTGCTCTCCTGTCATCATCTCACTATAATTTCTTCCATGCCGGAATCATCTAGCATCTCTTTTTTTTTCTTTTTTTTTCTTTTTTTTTTTTTGCTGCATGTTTTATAGGCAAATACCGGACCTCTGAAGTTGTGGGGACTATCAGAGTCAACTTCATATTTCTCAAATGCCGGATGCTTGTAAATAGGGTCATATGGCAAATGGCTGATAGTATTCAATACATAGCATTAGATACCAACTTAATCCCTATTTAAGCACCATTTTATCTTGATAGAATATTTTGTTAGTGAAATTTATTCCTGAACTTTATTACCCTGAAAATCTAGTAATAGTAAAGTCAATCATAAAACTGACAAATAACAATATACTTCACTACAAAGGTAATTTCAGAGTCGTGATATCAGGTATGCTACCAAAAGCATAGCATCGTCATACATAACATACATATAACTACATAACCCAACCTCGATCTCCTCTTTGAAGACTCATCATCATCAATGACAATAGGCTCACTACTCCGACCACTGTTGTGCATATCAGGTACTTGACTGTTAAGGATCCTAACCTCAAACCTCAGATTATGGGGTCCATTAGCTTGAAAATGCACCCATCTCCACTCCTCAGTTTGTTATCCGCAACATGTTTCCATCCAAACTCATCAAAGCAGCTTGATCGACTCCATAGGTATCCCCATCTCCCATGCCTTTTTTTCAAGGAAAGGATAATGGGAAAATCCGTAGAGTGGGATGAAATGTCAGAGGAACTGCCTGCTCAACAAAAAACATAGGAAATGAATCTGTAATGATAAAATGTTACATAGTATGAACTTATGATGATCATGCATGAGAATGAAGCACAAACATGATTAAGAAACTACATATGCATATATGGGCATGCATGGTGTGCTAAAGCATAACATAGCTTTGCTTGATGGGTTAATTGCAGATATACCCTTTGTGCAACTACTTGTATGTTCTAAAGTTTTTAATCGGTACTTACATCCCTAAATCTCAAACAGCATTACCTTTTCTGTCTTCAGTTTAGAGGGCAACTTGGTCTTCTTTTTCCTATAAATTGAGGGCAATTTAGTCTTTTTCTCAATTTAGGGGTATGAGTACTAATATAATAGTTTATGAGGTATAACGGGCCACACCTTCATTGTACTGGATATCCTTGATTAAATTCATCAGATGCAGCAGAAACTTAGCAACCCATTTCCCGGCTCACAAAACTTGTTTAGAGATCAAAGTTATCAAAATCCAAACGATCATAGCAACTGCATAATCGCGTATAAATATTTATTTGTAAAATCTAATCAAACCTACAGGGACGCAAATTGAACTTTACACCAGTGAAGCTAGTGTAAGAGTGATACACATAAATCAACAATTTCCAGAGGAGGTGCTTAAAATAGTATAACAAAGTAGACACAAATGATTGAAGAAGTTACAGAGATTACCAATTTGTAGGGGGGTTCTACACCAGTCTTAAAAAAAGATGCATGTGAAGAAGGGATTTCCTCAGAGCGGTCCAACTTCTTTGGGCTCTGATGTAATCGTTGCAGATGCTTACAATCCTATGTATTAATGAGAACGGACAATCATTTAAAATCGTAAGCTTATTAACATAGAAAGCAATATTCACATCAGTTTGTTCCTGAGCACCATTCAGAAACTATGAAGCTAACTCAACTTGATGAAAAATATTACATTTGAATACTTAATTTATTATTCTGATACCAGGAAGGTTGGTTGATTCCTAGATGGAGGGACTATGCTTCATGCAGCTGTGTTTGCGCCTCTTATAGCGAGTGCCCAAGTAGCTGGCTGAATGATTTATTTGAGATCACGAAGAAAGAAATATGAAGGTAAAAAGTGAGAATTTACGAACTGTATGAAAGATTCAGCGTAGACACAAGCAGAACTAACCTTGCAACTTTCATACTTTTGAGCGCCTCGGATCATGGAGGATGCTGATTTTATATAGCTTAATTTGTTTTTCTCAAGGACAAAGAAGAGTTAGGGGCTACACAGATAGAATTATACCTTTTCAAGAATTCCCCTCAGCCTAACATTTCATTTACTCGACATTAGGAGTTAAATCAGCAAGTGATCACAAAATAAGTTAAGAAAAGTAACTCCTTTAAGAGAATGCTTAGATGACAATAACTTACGAATAACAGTATATGTCTCACTGCAAAGATAACATAGCAATCACAACTTCATGTATACTACCAAAGCATAACACCATCACACATAACATACAAATAACTATATAACCCAACATCATTCTCTTTCCAAGACTAATCAATCATCAATCACAATAGGCTCATTACTCCGTACCCTGTTATGAGAAAACATATCAGGTACCTGACCATTAAGAATCCTAACCTCAAATCTCAAATTCTTGCTGTCCATGAGCTCGAAAACACACCCATCTCCGATCTTCAGCTTGTTGTCCACTGTAAAACGCTTCCATCCAATTCCACAGAAGCGCTTTAAATGGCCTCCGAAGTATCTCACTTCCCATGTCTTCTTTTTGATGGAAAGGATAACGGAAACATCAGCAGATGGAAGGACTGGATGGAACGACACAGGAAGTGTCTGCTCAACAAAAAGCTTAGGAAATGAATATGTAATGATAAAAAGATCGAAGTTAGCATAAGTAGTGCGTCAAAGATAACGTAGTTTTCATTTAAGCGTTAACTGTAGATACACCCACTGTAATATGGTGGTGTAATCATTTACACTTCCTGAACATTTTTATATGCCCTTAGATCCCTAAATCTCAGATGTTGTTACCTTTTTATCCGCATTTTAG